CCGAACCTAGGGTGAAAAATCAGAATTATTTTAGTAGATTATCCCCAAATTATGTCAGTTGTCAGAAAATCGTTCCAACATCAGTTTCCAAATTACCGTCATCAGACGATACAAATGATGAACATGCGCATTAAAAACGGTACAAGTAGTTTCGTGACGGTTTCCGGACCGTACAAAAATTGCGTGTTGGAACAAACCTATAATCAAAGAAGTTTCAGAAAGTAGCAACATATTTATTAGTAAACTTTCGGCCAATTACAAACGTAAGAGGGACTGCAAAGAAACCGTGCTTTATAAATGAGACAGAAATTCGAGCTTTAGTTGGATTACTAATATTATCTGGCATTTGTAAATCCAGCCATAGGAATATCAAAGATTTGTAGGATATTTCAAGGCTTGGACTTCAAACGTTTTACAAAACTATGAGTTATAACGGTTTTTTACTTTCTCATAAAATGTCTAAGGTTTAACAATATAAATACCCGCGAAGAAAGAATATTGCTGGACAAGTTTGCTCCCATTAGAAGTATTTATAATCAGTTCAATAATAATTGCCTCGCAAATTATTCGCTTAGCGAATTCGCCACCATTAATAAACAACTTTTAAATTTTAGGGGTAGATGCTCTTTTCGACAGTATCTACCAAACAAGCCGGCACGATATGGTCTTAAATTTTTCGCTATATGTGATTCCAAGATATTTTATACTTTACAATTTGAACCTTATATTGGAAAGCAGCCAGATGGTCCTTTCCAAGTTAGTTATAAGCCCATTGATATTGTGCAGCGTTTGTGTCGTACACTCTTCGGTTCAGGAAGAAACATCACAACGGACAACTGGTATACCAGCATACCATTAGCAGAAACATTTCTGTCTCATAAATTATCGTTAGTGGCCCTTCAGGATATTTTATCATTTGTTAAATACTGCAATTAATTCCCACATCGTTTATTTCGCTAACAATCCTACTAAAAGAATTACCAGATCGAAGTTTCTAGAAGAGATTGAATTTACTCTGGTACAACCACAGATGGAAGCTAGGTCACAAATACAATCTATTCCAAACTCTTTGAAAAGAGTCCTAGGTAATGCAGGAACAAACAATGATAATGTGCCTATAAAAAAAAGCAAGATGAACTATATGTCCACGAGCAAAAGACATTAAATGTAAGAGTGGTTGCAAAAATTGCAATAAAAGTATGTGCCTAAGCCATATGAACACAATATGTGATGCATGCTACCGAGGCCAGTAAATTTATTCTAAGTTCATTTATTGTTCTTTATATATAATATAAAATTTTTGCTTTCATCTTTTTTACTTTATTTATTTATTTATTATTTTTGCTCAGTTGTGTGCAATTTTATTCCTAAAATCTATGTTTATAAAATTCAGCGACTACACATGTAGACTGCAATATTTGCTGAAATAAATAGTCTTACTTTGTGACAAACTTTTAACATTATATACCTAAAATATAAAAAAAAGTTTGGATTTTATTACTTTAAACATAAAGTAAGATAAAATAATGGGGTGCTGCAGACACCCCGCGAGTTGACACGTTCCTGAAATAGGCGCGAGTAACGGAGGGTTAATAACAGTCTTACTTATATGTCTTTTTTTAACTGTTGTTGTTGTTTTAACAACTTAGATCGGTTGCATATTCTTGCAATTTTTTATACCGTTTTATCGCTTTATCTGTATCTAGTCATCTTACTTGTAGATTGCAACTGATAATGTATACGAACGAAACTTGTTTACGATATATAGATTGACCGTCGTTCTTCTTTTTACGATATAGTATATCTATGTAAGTTGGCGGGATATGGAAACTTTTGTGATAATAAGTAAAAAAAAAGTTTCAAAATTTATTAACCAAATCCTAACTATCAGATATCAAATTTAATTGATGAATTCGAGGTTTGTCAAAAATGAAATTGTTGATCAAGAGTACAATATATTTTAATCAATATTCAAAATTATTGTACTCAAACGCTGTTTAGAAATAAAAATATCTTTATTATAATCAAAATAAATAATTGATATAAAAATATCAAAAACATATTTTTGGACAATTCAACAAAAACTAACTACATTATGATTAAATGATTAAATACGTTTTGAATATAGTAATCCTGTAGAGGATATTGGACTATTATTTAAATAAAAAAAACTAATTTGTTCCACACTTACTCTGCGATAACGTTGAAACATTACTTTGTATCTTATTGCGTACATATGCATTAGTCTGCAGAACTTTTTGTGAAGAATAAATTTTTTGTTAAATCATTATTAAAAAGTTTCTCATATGCCGCCAACTAACTTTTAACATTCCATAGAAAGGTTATTAAATTCTGATTCCAAAACTATATTTTACTAATCTTCTTCTTACAATGCCTTATCCTTAAGGACGCTGGCCATTACATTTGCCCATTTAATCTTATTTCTAGCAGCCCTGAATAGTTCTATGTAGGTCATGTTCGTCCATTGCCGTAGGATTTTAAGCCAAGAGTTGCGTCTCCTTCCTGGTCGTCTTTTGCTATTGACTTTGCCTTCGATTATAAGTTGGAGCAGTTTATACTTTTGATTTCTTATGATGTGACTAAAATATTGTGTTTTCCGTTCTTTTATTATAAGCATAAGCTCTCTTTCCTTATTCATCCTCCGCAAGACTTCCGCATTTGTCGTATGGCTCATGTAGGATATTCTGAGCATTTTACGGTAACACCAGAGTTCGAATGCTTGGATTCTTTTTTGTGTTGCTTCTGTTATTGTCCAGGCTTCAACACCATAGAGCAAGGTGTAGAAAACACAGGACTTAAGTATTCTAGTTCTCAATGAGATGCCCAGCTGGCGGTTGCATAGAACTTTTTGCATTTTATAAAACATTGTACGTGCCTTTTCCAGGCGTATTCTTATCTCTAGTGGGTGGTCCCAAGTTTCATCAAGATTAATTCCAAAGTACGTTGTTCTTGTTACTCTTTCCAGATCTGTTCTGTCGACATTGACCTTCACCCTTCTGTTTTGGTGCTTGCTGATGACCATCGTTTTTGTCTTCTTTGTATTCAATTTAATTCCAAATTGTCTACAGGCTGTCGTTACTCGGCCCATTAAGCGTTGCAGGGCTTCAGGGCTTTCACTAATAATTCATGTTTATTTTTATTTTACTAAATAGGTCAAATTGTTCAACTGTTACAATAATAAATTTTAATAATGAAAGCTTAAAATTTGTTTTTATTAAGTGTTTAAAATGTTCACCATTCACCTGTTAACAGTAGTATAACCTATTTTTATTTTTTCTTCAACATTCTGTAACATTTATTTAGATTTGCTGTTATATTCTTGTATCTTAGGTAGATCAGCAATATGTTGTGAATTTAAGCCAAGAAGACAAAAAGTTAGAGTAAGATCTGGTAATAGTGATGGCCATTTGGGTCCCCATCGTCCAATCCATCGTCTAGGAAAAACTTTGTTTAAATAATATTGGATCCAGTGTGTATAATAAAAAATGGTCACTTTTTTTAAATGTTTTTGGCCAATTAATGTTTTATTAATAAATATTGAACGTACAAGGTAATCCCAATATACCTGCCCATACATGATTATTAAAAAACAGATGAATATTTGACTCAGATCAACACCTGACATTGTGACAGTTATAACTATGTCATTAAGTACGAATATGATGATCTAAATTTTTTCGCCTTAGACTTAATGTTTCGTGAATAGTATTTGTTAATCACCGACGAAAATATACAAGCTTATATAAACATTTTGGTTATCAGAAAATCCAAATCGTTAAAACAGGAGTTTTGTAATTGATTGCAATATACATTGACCATTTACGTATCGCATTTGATAAAGTCAGCCAGCCACATGTGAAACGTCAACAAGAAAAAAGTCCTACTGGAATCACCAAAAGTCGATAAACCAATTACGAATTTAATTGACTACTATTTTTAAATTTTCATTATTTAAACATGTTGCCATTACTGTTTTGTCCTGTAAGTGTTTTTATTCTTTGATTTTCAGTTTCTATGCTTACTGCAGCTATCATTGTATATGTATAATAATATTTTTATATTAATGGGTCGTATCAAAACAGTAGTTTCGATTTCATATGCTGTGATTACTATGTCACCTAAGTAATTTCAAATTGCCAATTTATTATATCACGTCGAGTTTCTTGTCGAGTCAAGTAGTCGTTTGTATATTTCTTAACTATATGGTATTATATATTTCAGTTGTCAGTTTCAGCTATTTTTATAAATATCTATATCTTCATTAACAAAAATATGGTTATTACATTACCGTGAATTCAGTGAAACCGTATAGTGTAGGTTGAAATATATTTCTTCTATTGCTCTGACTGAATGAATGAAACTTTTATGATGCAATGGGTACGTGGCGAAATCCATCAAATATGGCTACCGTTGAAGATTTTTAATAGGATGTATGAATTGTTGTAATTTATTTCTGTATATTTAATTATTGATACTATAATACTATATATAAATATAAATATAATATTAAGTATTTTTTATATGTTACACAAGTCTGTTTGACTGTACATTTTAACACAAAGAAATAAAAAAGAACAAAGAAATGAAAAATTATAAGGAATATTTCCATATCTTTAAAAATTTTTTACGAATTAAATAATTAAAAATTAATATCACTATTGCTTAACTTTAAACACAAACTTGGAATATATTTTATTGTAGAAAATTGAAATAAAGCGAGCATATGTATACGAAGATTATTGTAAAGAAATATATAACGTCTAATATTTTCAGAAAAAACACAAAATAATATTTTAAATCCAATTATCGAAAGCTAGTCACAATCGTATTGTTCACATTTTGCCACATTTAGCTAGTATTTACTTATATATAGATACTTATTCATCTACAAATATAACCCCCATTTTTTAAAATCTTAAAAATATTTATTTCTCAAAGTGCACCTGCAAATCTAAACCTACGTTCGCCCCACGTCTGTGCTAATTGTAGTACCCCCTGTTCATTGCTGCCCGATATCTGTTCTGCCACTTGCATTGCAGAATTCTTAAATAGGTCCTTCTAAAGCTAGCGTTACACAATGCATAACACACTGGATTAATAGTCGAGTTAATATAGCACAAGAAGTAGAAAAAGTCCCAGACCTGTGGAGGAAGACCTGTGGTGCTAGTCACAGGTTTCAGTAATACCAGTATGTTGTAAGGTGTCCACGTGATGATGAAAGTCAACAATATAGCCGACAGAGTTTTTGCGGCTTTTTTGTCAGCTTTCTTTTCTTGCGTTTTCTTCTTTTTCTTGCCTGGATTTTTCGTAGCATTAACAAGAGGGGTTTTGCCGGCTAGTTGCTTGGGAATGATCTTCGCGTTAAGGGGAATGCGGATATCGGGCATAGCTGAGGGACGACGGTTTATATGGTTGCCTTGGTCTGACGAGCGATGAAAATCACCAGTCTGGTGGTTTCGAGAAGGTGCCTATAATAAATATTACTAATTATTTAAGTAATTGTAACTATAATAACATAATTTTAAAAAACATTTTAAATTAAGGGAATATTATGTCAATACAAGTTTTCTATTAGGGTTTTCAAACATAACAATTGAGCATTATCAAATCTTACATCTACGTCGCAAATTTAATGTTTTATTAATATCAGGGCTTAGAAGGCATTCCTATATAAATAGTATTAATCATTGGTTGGCAGTTAGTTGAAAAGTTTTCTTCGAAAAATGATTTAATACTGTACGATCAAACTTTCAAAAGCAATCAAAAACAACCGCTGTCTTCATCGATCTATCTGCTGCTTATGACACTGTGTGGCGACAAGGGGCAATATATAAATTAATGCGAATAATCCCATGTGAAAGACCACTGAGGTTATTAACGCCATGCTATCCAACAGATGCTTTAAAGTTATATTGGGAGACAAGACTAGTAACCAAAGAAAACTGAATAATGGACTTCCACAAGGATCCGTGCTGGCTCCCATGCTTTTCAGCCTCTACATAGCAGACATGCCAGAAACCACATCAAAAAAGTTTAAATACGCAGACGACTGGACGCTTGCCGCAAGTCATAAAGAATTCGAGGTCACTGAACGCATTCTAACAAACGATTTAAATGCCCTAGGGAATTATTTCCGCAAATGGAGATTGCAACCCAATCCAACTAAGACAGAAGTGTCCTGCTTCCATTTGAACAACAAGATGCCCAACTATCAACCTCAAATTAATTTTGGGGATAGACTCCTTAAATATAATAAACACCCAAAATGCTTAGGTGTTACACTTGACAGAACGCTGAACTTTAAAGAGCATCTTACTAATACTGCTGCAAAACTCAGAACTCGTAACAACATCCTGTAAAAGCTCTGCAGCACTACATGGGGCTCCTCAGCACCCACACTTAGATCCACAGCATTAGGACTGGTATACCCCGTAGCGGAATACTGTGCACCAGTATGGATAAACAGTCCACATACTCACCGTGTTGATGTCCAACTCAACCAAGCCATGCGAACTATATCGGTCACAATCAAGGCCACGCCCACTTACTGGTTACCAGCTTTGAGTCATATAGCTCCACCACCCATCCGCCGGGAACATGCCCTTGTCAGAGAATTTACAAAAATCAATACTGATCCTGAGCTCCGCTCCCATGTCGGAACTTCCACCAGAGACATAAATAGGCTCCGTTCAAGACACCCGCCTCTAAAAACAGCAAAAAGGCTAGTAGATCAAAATTTTAATGTAACTGAACGGTGGAGAGAACAATGGGAGACTAACGCTGCACCAGCTAACTGAAACATGCCATGTATTACAAGCAAACCTGAGGGCTTCAACCAACCGAGACGAATTTGGACCACACTCAATAGAATAAGGACGAACTGTGGCAGATGTTCCGACTCACTTTTTAGATGGGGAAAAATACAATCACCAAATTGCGACTGCGGCGCCGAAAGGCAAACAGTAAAACACATGGTAGAGGAATGCCCGATTAGATCCTATAACGGCAACCCTTCAGATTTCCTGGCTGCTACAAAAGAGTCAATCGAATATATTTATAATCTAGATGTTTGTTTGTAGAATAATATTTTTGTATTTACTGTTGTTTGTAATTTATATAATTTATATTATGTGTATATATACGAACCTGTGATGTAGCCATACGCCAAATAAAATAATACTATACGATTTTTCGGTTGCTATTCGATCAAAAGGCGGAGAAATTCTATTAAAATCAGTAAGCAAACTGTTTAATAAATGCTTACATGCAGGTACGATTCCAAAAGACTGGAATAATGCAGTAATAGTCTTGTTACACAAAAAAAGCTAACACCTAAACTTTATTTCTATCAGCCCCAAGAACAGGCAGGCTTCAGGGCAGGATATGGCACAAATGACCATTTGCATACCATAAAGATTTTAATAGAAAAGTGCATCGAGTAAGTACAACATATCACTGGTTCTTGTTTGTCGATTACGAGAAGGCTTTTGATTCTGTAGAGTTTGATCAATATAGATTGAGAAAGATTAAATAATCTAAGGTTTGCAGATGATATTGTATTAATCGCAGATAGCTTAAAATATACAGCTTCTATGATACATTCGCTTAAAAGTCTGTCTGAAAGAGCAGGATAAAAGATAAACTGTGATAAAACTAAACTTATGACAAATCTCGTAATGAGTGGAAATATAACTATTGACAATAATACTATGCAACAGACAGACACTAAAAAACATATGGAAAATACAGAGGTAAATAAGTTTGACATGGGCAGCCTTTGGCAAATTAAGTCATATTCAAGTTCAATTTCCATGTGTCTCAAGCGAAAGGTTTATAACCAATGTGTTTTACCTGTAAAAACGTATGGAGCAGAGACTTTAACACTTACGCAAAAATCTGCGAATAAACTCAGAGTTACACAACAAGCCATGGAACGTGAAATACTGAACGTGACCCTTCGAGACCACATAACAAACCAACAAATCAGGCAAAGATCAGGAGTTCCAGACGTCATCGAAAGAACCACTTCCACCACTTTTATCTAAGTGCACTGCCCAGTTCCACTAAGTGGAACTGGGCAGGGCACTTAGCCAGAACACAAGATGGACGATGTACAAGACGTATTATGGAATGGATGCCCAGAAACAATAAAAGAAGCCGGGGACGACCACCGACTAAAAGGACCGATGATATAAGACGTGTAGCGGGAAACTGGCTGCAAGCGGCCCAGTGTAAAGAACACTGGAAATAACTGAGGGAGGCCTATGTCCAGCAGGACATAGGCCTCTATTTGATCAAAAAAAGGTAGAATTTCGCCTTGTTTAAATTAAGTCAAAATGGATAGTAGTCGATAAACGTATTTAGCCCAGTATTTTTTTGCAGTAGTACGGTTTATGAGAGAAGTTTTATATATAATTTATGCACCACTATTATACGCGAATATTAAATGCTGTGACGTCAAATATTTATCCTAATATGTGAACTGATAGTATTTTAATACTAAATATTACTTTCTCATTCTCATTAGTTATTTATTTTCTAATTCCGGGATTAAACTTTCCCTCATATTTTCAATGAAAACCTACCCTTATTCCTCCTCACTCTTTGTAATTTAGTATTTGTCTATTTATTCGATTTTCTGTACGTATATGTATGTGTTAATGTTAATATGGTGTCGAGATGGAATCAAGTAAATCTCATTAAAAGAAAACCATATTTATGAAAATTTGCATTTAATTAAAAAGACATGATGACACGTAACGCAAATTGTGCATGTCATTTAAAAAACACTTTTTTAAAAACCAGAAACACTCAAAATATACTTTTATTTACACTGGCAAATATTTTAGTTACAAATTATAGTATAATATAGAAAGAGAAGAATATATATAATATATAAGATAATATAGAAATACTAAGAAAGGTGAAAGGAGAAATACTTCCGCCTCCCCAGTCCCAACCTCTTTTGAGATGTGGTAACACCATCAGGCCTTTACAGTTTTTTCACAATTTCCCTCCATCCTTTTCTGTCCTGAGCTGGTTATTCGGCTTCATGTAACCTTTGGTTAATTAATATTTTTGTTTGATCTACCCAACAGCATGGAGATCTTTCCCTAGGTCTCTTTATTTCAACTCTACCCTCGACTATCGGTTTTTTCATCGTACCTGTTCTTCTAGAAGTGTGTCCAAAATACTGCAAATATTTCTCTTGTATTTGATTAAGCAAGATATCCTTTACTTTAAGTTGTTCTAATATCGATACGTTAGTGCGATGATCAATCCAGGATATTCTCAACATGCGGCGGTATACACGCATTTCAAAAGCGTCTAGTTTATTTTTATCCGCTTTCTTTAAGGTCCACGTTTTGGATGAGTATGTGGCTATGGGAAAATAAGCGCCCTTACCAGTCTTAGTTTTGTGTGTATTGTTATTCTAGAATTTTTCCAAATTACTACCAGTTTCATCATAGCTGTTCTAGCAATAGTCAACCTTCTACGTATCTCTTTGTCACACCCTCCGTCATTTGTTAATAGGGACCCCAGGTATACGAAACTACTACTTCAAAACCCTCAATTTCTTTAATGTGTTGAAGATTATTCTGAGCTCTGTCTGGTATCAGGATCTTTGTCTTACTACTATTTAACCTTAGTCGATATGTTTTGCTTTTTTCCTCCAGAAATCTCATTATGTCTTCCATTTCTTGTTGATTTGCCTTGATTATTAAAGTGTCGTCAGCATATCTCAAGTTATTGATTTTTTGACCTTCTACTGATATTCCGCCCTTCTATGCGTCTAGTACCTTTTGTATAATGTGTTCGCTGTAGATATTAAACAGAGTTGGCAAGATTATGCATCCTTGCATCCCTGCCTGACACCTGCCTCTGTTCTGAAATGATCGGAATGGGTGTTGTTTATTTTTACTGTGCACTTATTATTTTCATACAGACTTAGTTGAATTAGGTGGTGGGGTGTTCCCATTTACGCTAGTATGGACCATAGTTGCTGCCATTTGACTTTATCGAAGGCCTTTGTGTAATCCACAAAGCACATAAGCATAGGATTATTGAATTCCCGAGTTTTTTCAATTAGCTGTCTGATATTAAGAATGTGTTCTCTTGTGCCGTTTCCTGGGACAGATACCGCTTTACAAATTTCCTGGGACAAATGCTTTACCTATATAGACACAACTACTGAATTTGCTATTCCAGTACATCACAATTAGTGTTGCCAGGGAGGAAGTTTTCTAGGGGATGAACACAACATTTACATTGACCTCTTCTTGAGTTTTGTTGCTATATTTTTTTTTACTTATTTACATTGTCATATCAGCCTCTAGGGTAAGATTTTACTTGTTGATCCGATGAATTACAAAAATCACACGAGGAATTGAAAATAATGGCAGGAAACAGAAAAGATTGGAAGAGGTGGGTAAATGGAAATTAAAATAGCTAGCCCAAATCCGACACC